AAAATGTTTTGCAAACTCAACACATACTCATCACTCGTACGGATCTTTCCAACACACGTAACGTTACCGCTCTCTAGGATTACAAACTCACCTAAAAAATTAAAAATCAAAGTTAAGATATTATGCTCCTATGATAGTATTAATCCAGATAGTTTTTTTAATATCATACAGTAGGTACTGCAAAATAATTGTAAACAATAAAAATATACCAGAGTTCTCGTGATATCTGACTTTAATGCGTGTGATGTCAGTGTCTGACAAGAAGATGGGTCGTCGGAACTGGACGTCCTCGAAGATTGCGGGCAATTGGTTCCACTGCTTCCCATAATGGGCTCCCATTCGTCTCCAAGCGAGCAGTAGATACCCCGTCGCCGGGTATAACACATTGCCGTCAATGCAATGCTCGGGTAGAAAAGCCTTTAGACTTTGTGACGGATTGTAAACTTCATTCATATCGGAGTTGTATGATCTGAAGTGATAATCAGGGAATTTACGGACATGATTGGAGTGCTCATGGTCCCATTTCAATAGGGAACTGATTGATTGGGTACTCCTAGCGACAGGCCATTCCACTTTAGGGTACAGGTTCTCAATCAAAGGGTTGAGTCCCAACTCATATAGCTTTGCGATTGAACTCAAAAACATATCCAGGTTAGTATCGTTTCCATCCTTTTTAATGAGCGACACATAAGTTCCCGATTCGAGGGTTTCCTTCACGACTTTGGAGAAGAGTCCGTGCGGTCCGATCTCTAGTATGAGTGCATCGGACGGCAAGTGTTTGAACTTATTGTAGAAATAGACGGGACTTATGAGGTTATGCACGAAATACTCGGCAGAACCAGACTTAAGGGTATCATCTAAATCTGATTCAATGACAGCAGTTTTCCTTCACGACTTTGGAGAAGAGTCCGTGCGGTCCGATCTCTAGGATCAGTGCATCGGACGGCAAGTGTTTGAACTTATTGTAGAAATAGACGGGACTTATGAGGTTATGCACGAAATACTCGGCAGAACCAGACTTAAGGGTATCATCTAAATCTGATTCAATGACAGCAGTAGAGATCCATTTCTTAGACCTCGGCTTAGGATTAGGCACTATCTTCTTGAGCTCATCCGTCAATTTCTTGGCAGAAGTGATGAGATATTCGCTGTGATATGGGATGTCATGACTTTGGAGTTCGCGAACAAACACTCCTTTTTTGTTCAAGTCTTCAACCATTTGTTTGGTCTCATTGTATAAGCCTTAAAAATAAATATACAGGTATAAGTAAATTTGTTTTTCATTAATACATTTGCGTTGATAATTACCAGAAATAACAACAGTGTCCTTTCCGTTATTACAGACAACACTCGTCCCCTTTGGACACAACTTCTTCGCCTCATTCCAGGACAGCCCGACGACAGCCATCAGTCCTTTCGGTATTTTCTTATCGCTTTCGGTCACAACTCCTCTATTTCTTGAGTTCATCCGTCAGTCTTTGAGCACAAGTAATGAGATATTCGCTGTGATATGGGATGTCATGACTTTGGAGTTCGCGAACGAATATTCCCTTTTTGGTCAAGTCTTCAACCATTTGTTTGGTCTCATTGTATAAGCCTTTCAATAAATATTAAGTAATTAATTATAATCTAAAATCTAAGCTAGTTGATAAATATAAATACCGGAAACAACTACTGTATCATTTCCGTTGTTACAGACAGGACTCGCCCCCTTTGGACACAACTTCTTCGCCTCATTCCAGGACAGACCGACGACAGCCATCAGTCCTTTCGGTATCCTCTTATCACTTTCTGTCACAACTCCTCTATAGTATGTCATCATAAGAGCTTCTCTGGTATTGAGACATCCGTCGGCATAAGCGGCCGCTATTTCACCGAAAGAGTGACCTATAATTCCGTCCGGAATTATCCCAAGAGCTTGAATGACATCACATAACGCTATCTCTATAGCAGTTGTCGCACAGAATTTGTTTGTCATATTAGACATCGAGTTCTTGTCATCAGATAACAAGAGATGTTTTAAGTCTATGCCATAGGGTTTGAGTACTTCATGACATTCCTCTATCTTATCGGCGAATATCTTAATCGGCATCAAAGCCTTAGCCATACCAGTCCATTGCCCCCCAAGACCGGGGAATAGAAACCAAACGGGACGTACAGTCTTTGCTGTAAAGGATGAGTACTGTTTGTTATACTCATATTGATCCTGGGCAACCTTTTTAATAATCATTGATCCTATTTTTAAAATAATAACAAATTCAAGTTAAACTGAATAATTGTGGCAACACTTTGAACCAAACCTCTATAAGGAAAGCCATTTGACTGAAGCGTTGGTCGAACTCTCATAGTTTCGGCCAAAAGTGCGAGAAAATGTTGAGTTATTTTTTGGGGATTATTCTCAATAAATGTGAAAAACTCATTCAATGCCTCTTCAGTTCTGCAGCAAATGTTCACAATTCTGGGGATAATATCTGCTATTTTATAACTGTCCGCATCCGGCAACTTATTATTTGCTTCGAGTAATACACTCGCGTTCACACCTCCCACTCCAAAGTTGTTCAGTCCAGCGACACCTAACAAATTATATCATATTTCATGTTTTATTTGAAATGATAACTAAATGATAAATGGTTTAATCCAAGACATACCAGGAATATAAGGCATATTCTCATTGATGGGTTGAAGTGGAGGACAATAGTCTCTAATACTGCTCTTAATCTTCTTTAAGTGGAGATTCGCGGGAATGCATTCATTTTCAAACGCTATCAATACCTTAGCAATGGATGCCATACCCGATGCGCCCTCGGCGTGACCGATGTTGCTCTTAAGCAAACCGACCGGAAGTACTCCTTTGCGCTGAGGTTTAATGCAAAAGGCGTTATAAATAGCTCTCGCCTCCAATGGGTCGCCCACCTTAACATTGATATAAATATAATATTTTAAAATGTAAGTCACTATTTATTTCATAGTGCTTGATCAGTTTACTTTGGTTCCCGTGGCGTGGGCCTCAAAATAGTTAACTTTTAAGGGGTCTATGTTTGCCTCTTCATAGATCTTAACCATCAACTCCTCCTGACTTTCAGATGAGGGGAAAAACATTCCCATCCTTTTGTTGCCATCGATGTTGACCCCGGAGTTCAAGACTGTGGCGTAAATACGCTTTGACTCTGACTTTCGTTGCAATAAAATACAAGAGACAGTCTCTCCCCTCACAAACCCATCGGCCTTCTCGTCCCAAACTCTCGGTATTCCTTCAATCGAGTTAAGAGATGTCGTCTGAAAGATCTGATTCGTGAAGGGCTGGAGACAGAGCTGAGTGCCACCAACTATCGCCTGACGACATTTGCCTTATTGTGTATATTATCACATCATAATTATTAGTAAACAATGTATTTATAGAATATTCTGGGAATACCTAATCTCATGTCATTCATAGCTGTGTTGAGCGCAACCAGACTGGAAGAGCAGGCCGTGTCGATGACAACTGAGGGGCCCTTAAAGTCTAACACAAACGATATTCTGTTGGCATAAAGACATTTAGCAGTTCCGGGCAGCCATAATAGGGTGTCCATCATATTGTTCTGGGAGTCCGGCTGTACGTCTTGGGGCATACAGTCAGGCATTCCGAACGTAGAAAACCCGATATAAACCCCGGTGTCTGAGCCACGAAGTGATTGCGGGTTTAGACCTTTATTTAAATAATCACCAT